TCAAACTTTCATTCTTTTGCTGACCTATAACTTAATAAAGTTTTGAAAAGAGACAGAGAAATGTGGCAGGTGTGATTTCTTGGTCTTTTACCTCACATTCTAATGAGGACCCCAAATCCTCTTCTGCTACCCCTTTCTGCACGTGACCTCACTTCTATAAAACTATCCCACAGTGCACAGAAATAAAAGAGCTATTTCCCAGCACAGGAGGATGAAAAGCAATGAGCTACAAGCAGCTCGTGTCATAGCACATGCAACCCTCACCCCATGCTGCCTCACATGCCTCCCCCAGCACTGCAGGAAGGTCAGCCACCCTAGGAACATCCTTCCCTATTTCCCTCCCCAAGATGCTGCACACCCCATCCCACATAGAAAAGCTGCTGGATATTACCTGACCCTGATTTTTCAGTCCAACCCCACACAGAGTATTTACTGACTCTTCCAAGCACCAACTCAGGCCCCCCTACTTGGGCTTTGTGTGCCCCACCAGCTCCAGGAAATAGCCACATATTCCCAGCAGAAGGTGGCAAGGAGTGCCTGCTTACTCAGAAAGCTGCTGCCAGCCAGACTTGCTGCTTTTCTACTCTGAAACATGCACAGCTGGAATTGCTCAGTGCAAATGAGTTGAATTCATAGAAAATCCCACAGGAATGTTACTATCTTCCCTGTCTGACAATAAAGGTAATAAAAACAAGTTTGAACAAAAATCTCAAATACCATTCAATGAATAACCATATTGAATTATTGGACTCCAGGAAGAACATCTTTACCCTCATGACAATCTGCTTCTTGACACACCCTTAGCTAACAATGAGGATAACAGCTTTTCAGGACCCTGAAAGAGGAAATTATAACTGCACTTCAAAAATAATCTCCTTATAAATGCTTCTTGTTGATAGTATCTTCATTTGTACAGGTAGATCTTTCATTGTCTAATGCAAAGGATTCACAACTTTTTCTAGTAGAGACACACCCCATTTGCAGGCTCTTGCTCAGCTAAATTTGGATATTAGGACTGGCAGTAAAATTGACTTTGATGCTCAACCAAGAAGGGGGAAACAATCCTATGCAAGTCACTGTTCAAATGTAAGGAAGCAGCTGCAAAATAAAGTTAGAAATCTCTGAAGCACATCTTGCTTTTAAGTGTGAGTTTCAGGTGAGAAATATATCCTGTGTATTAGAGAAGTGAGGCATAAATCCCTGGATTCCAGGGATTCCAGACTTCAGTTAACTAACTTCTAAGAACTATAAACACAGATATCAGTGTAGCCCTGTCCAATACACTGAGTAGTTACAGAGCACAGAAAAGTTCCTGTGTAGCACTGGAAGATGTGCAGCCTGGTTTAACTTGGTTACCCACTACCCAATATTATTTAAGTAGGTACAAGATACCTGTGTCAGGAATCAGGTTACACAGACAAGCAATGTCATGCTGCTGAACAGCAGGAGGTCCAAGTGCTGTGATACATTTGGTTTGGGCAAACAAGGGCAGCCAGGGGATGACACACAAACTCTACATTTTCAATTTAAAACCTAATTACAAGATGCTGCTTCTTCCCCTGACCCCACTGAAATTAACTTAAAACAGATGGAGATGAGGCCCAGCAACAGATCCCATTATGTGAATCTAATTTGGATCCCACATAAATCATTCTATACAAACATTTATTCAAGAAAACAACCCAGGATGCTCACAAATCTGCAGCTACATTTGGTGCAGATATATACCAGCTGAGTATCAGACTCTCTTGACTTCCCCCATTCCTAACTGCAAGAGTCTCCTACAGTCAGGGCCCCCAGTGGGTAATCTGGGGATGAGACATTTGTCTGAGCCAAGTGCAAAGACCCTCTGAATATTTAAAAAGAGGTTTCATTGGGTCTGAGATGTGTCACTGAGCCACTTCCCAATGCAGATTCCCAGCACATCTGTGATAGACATCCCTGCATCCTTCAGGGATCACATAATTGAGGATGTGAGGAACCTGCCCCAGGCTCCCTCCTGCATCCAGAACAGCATGATCTGCTTTCAGACAGTCACAAACACTGCCTTCCCAGCCATGTCCAGAGCTCTGTGTGTGGGTGTGTGTGTGTGTGTAACCCTTGGACCACACCAGACACCCTGGTTCCTCCCACAAGCCATATTCCTTCACCTCCTTCATGAAAAGGTCTTTGGATGCAGCATCAAGCTCACCTCTAGCTGTCCCCAAACCAGCTCTAATGGCAGATTTCAAACCTTGCTTCCTCTCCCTTTCTCACTGGCAGTGGAGGAGGTGATGAAACGCAGAGGAAGTTTCAGCACTCCAGGGCCAAATCTTGCACTGTTTCCAATGATTTTCAGGCTCATGTGGCACCCAGCATTTCCATCCTGTGACCATGGTTATTCCTGGTCACTGGTTGTCAAGGAGTAAGGGGACTCAACCCTGGGGTAATCCCAGAGGGGAACCCTCTACCCAGCACAGCCAAAAGCTGTCATGACATGAATCAGTGTTTTCAAGATCATGGGTTTGCCCATCAGGGCGGCCCCTCTGCTTCTGCTTCCTGTCTTGGCAGACATTGCTGAGGGTGAGGTTTATCCCTGCTACCATGGACTTCTTGGAAAGAGTGCCAGAGAGGAAAGGGGCTGTGCCAGCAGATAGGATGCCTGCCAAAAAGCACAGACCAGGAGAGGCATCTGCTCTCCAGCACTGTGCCAGCTCAACTGGGCACCTCCTTCCAGCACAAACCACGGTCCCAGAGCATGTCTGCTGCTGGGGATGTCCCCACACAGGACCTGAGTAGCCTCTCCAAAAGTTTTGTGGCCACACAGGTGCTGAGTGTGGGCATCAGAAGCACCAGGTAAGCTTATCGTTCACACTCACCTTTAAATCCCTGGACCATTTTTTACATTTTGCATCAGACCAAAGCTATCAGATGTAAACCAGAAATTCTCCCAAGCACGGTAACCAGGCACTTGGACTTTCTACCTGCCCCACTCCCTGCCCCACAGCAGCTTCCCAGGAAAGGGGGAAGAGGTAGGCTCTGCAGGACCACAATATTTTGATTTTCTGCCTGTAGAGCAACTGCTTCAACCCAGATCTCATCCAGACGTGTGCAGAAGATGCTTCCCATTGAAGCTATCTAGGGACAGCACAGACCTCAAAGCCTTCAAACCCTCTGCAAAGGCCCCCCACAGCCATTGCTGTCACCCATGCCTTCCAGCCAGCCCCTGCTGTGGCAGCATGCTTCTCCAGGTAACAGGGGAACCACACTCCATGGCCAGGGATGCTGGTGGCTAAAAATCAGGAACAGAAATAAGGAAAATAAGTCACAGGATCATGGAACAGTTTGGGTTACAAGAGATCTTTAAAGGTCGTCTAGTCCAACCTCCCTGCAATGAGCAGGGACATCTTCAGCTACATCAGGTTGCTCAGATTCCTGTCCAACTTGACCTTGAATGAATCCAGGGAGAGAGCAACTCTCACCTCTCTGGGCAACCTGTTCCAGCGTTTTATCACCCTCATCATAAAATATGTCTTCCTTTTCTATCACCTAAATCGACCTTTCTTCAGCTCCAAACCATTACCCCTTGTCTATTGCAACAGGCCCTGCTAAAACCTTCGTCCCCGTCTTTCTTATAGGCCCCCTTCAAGTACTGAAAGGCTCAAGAAGGTCTCCCATCCACAAGTGGAACACAGATTTTCAGAGTCTTTGGGGTAAGGAAGGCAGCCTGTCCTTTTCAGTCTCTAGGCAGGGAGTCAATCCCCACTCTGAAGGTGCAGGAGGGTATTCATCTCTCCATTCACGTTTCCATGGGAAGTGCCATGAGCCCTGCTCTGGGGAAGGCACAATGCAGGACTCAGATACAGACAGCTGTGCTTTCAGTCATGCTCCTCATCCCCAACAGCCTGCTGGTGGCAGTGCCCTGCTCAGAAAGCACAGCTTTCAAGGATCATGGAATATCCTGATTGGAGAGGACCTATATGAAGTCCAACACCCATTTCTGCACTGGACAACCTCAAAATTCACACCATGTGTCTGAGAGCATTGCCCAAATGCTTCTTGAACTCTTGATACCATGACTACTTCCCTGGGGATCCTGTTCCAGTGTCCAACCACCCTCTAAGTGAAGAACCCGTTCCTGATATCCAACCTAAACCTCCCCTGACACAGCTTCAGGCCATTCCCTTGGGTCCTGTCTCTGGTGGCCATCGGGAAGAGATCAGTGCCTGCCTCATCTCTTTCCCTTTGTGAGGAGGCTGTAGGCTGTGATGAGGCCTCCCTAAGTCTTGTCTTCTCCAGGCTGAACAAGTCTAGTGACCTCAATTGCTCCACAGATGGCTTCCCCTACAGACCCTTCACCATCTTTGTTGCCCTCCTTCGGACACTCTCTAATAGTTTTATGACTTTCCTATATTGTGGCACCCAAAACTGCCCCCAGCACTCGAGGTGAGGCGGCCCCAGTGCAGAGCAGACCAGGGCAATCCCCCCCCCTTGCCCGGCTGGCGATGCTGTGTCTGATCCCCCCCAGGACACGGCTGGCCCTCCTGGCTTCCAGGGCACTGTTGGCTCGTGTTCAACTTGCCGTCTCAGGTCCCTTTCCTCATTCCCCGGGCTGTTTGCACACCCAGAGATGACCACCTCAGGTGCAGAACACGGCATTTTTGGAGGCACCTGCTCTATCCCTGACGGCGCATTTCCAAGCCAGCAATGGGACACATCACTCAGCCAAGCCCTCGGGCAGTGAGCGCACGGCTCGGCATCCAGCGCTCGGTCGGGACAGGGCTCAGCCCCTCCGCACGGACCGACCCTCGGCACCAGGCACTCCGCTGCCGGCCGCTTCCCCGCGGAGGGGATTTCTCGGTTCCCTTCTCCCGGGGGGAGGTGCAACTGGAGTTTCCCAGCAGCTGGTCCCGCCCCCGCTTTCCTCCCCTTATAGCCGGGCTGCCCCCGCCCCGGGCACAGAGGCTGTGACAGTGCCGGTGACCGTGACAGCGCTGCTGGCCCGCCTCCAGCCCCGCCGCCCGGGAGCCGCCGCAGAGTAAGTCCGTCAGTCTCGGGTCTTTCCCTTCCCCTCGGGCCGGCGTCTCCCGCTTCTCCCGAGCCGCTGCCCCGCTCCGGGCTCACTTGCTGGGGAGCTCGGGGGCTCTCTGCTGGGTCCGAGAGTGGGGAACGAGGGGCACCCACGGAGGGTGGGTTGCCGGGCACAGGGACGGGTTTCAGCCCCACCTTGTAATTATCAGAATGGGGAATAAATCGGATCGCTGGCAGGACAGCAGCTCCAGGCATATCCCAGGGCTGGGTACCGCAAGGATATGTGCCTGGTAATTCCATTGTGACAGCTGGGTCTGATTTGTGCAGCTTTTCCCCTAAATTTCAGGGCACAGGCTAAAGCAGTGACTACTGTAAACCATTCACCTCCTTCCTACCCTTCTGTCTTCCAACACCTTTCCCAAAATCCATATGAAGGTATTGAGCACCAAAGTGTCCTAAACCCAGATCTGGTGCTGGATTCCAGATCCAGTGTGGCACTTCTGCCCTCCCTTCTTTGTCTCTATTTAAAGGAAGTGGTTTTCCCCCAAACCACAGGAAAGTAATTGGATTGTGATTCATTCAGTTTGGCTGTGCTGAAAAAACACCATTTCAGAGCCTGGACCCTCGATGACCCTGGGCAGTCCCTGGGACTTGGACCCTGCCAGGGTCACTGTGCCAAGCTGGCACATTTCTGCATTGCCATGCTTGCTTGCCCTTTTGTGATTGCTTTTTCTTTGTCAGGGATGTCCCACAGCTCCTAGGACCTGCCTTTTCCTAGAGCACTGAAAAGCCTATAGAAATACCCTTCTGTCTTTGTGCAGCAGCCCCATATCCATTGCATCAGCTCTTCAGCACAAATTGAAAAATTCAGCCCCAGGGTTAGGATCCTTGGTGTGTTCAAAGCAGAATTTCTTTTTGAAATCCTTCACTTTGCTGCTGCAAAGTGAAGAAGAGACTTTCTGTGACTGGAGCATATGGCTGATCTGGAAGCCATGGTGCCTCACTCTGACACCCAAGTTCAGGACAGAAAACCTGAAGAAACACTGTCCAAAGCGTCAGCTGCCTGTCCTCCACCAAGGGACTTTGAGGCTTTTCAGCTCTGATAAAGCAAATCACAAGGGAGCAGAGAGCTCAGGTTTGGGTTTGCTTCATTCACCCTCTCTATAAAAGATGCCTGGAAAGCCAAAGAATTTGAAAGTGCCGAAAGAAGCTCTCAGGGAATTTGTTTATCTTCTCAGTAGCTGTTAGCTCTAGCAGTAAACTTTGCAAACTCCAGGCCTTAAAGAAGGATTTGGCTTTGGAACTAAAAACTTTTTTATTATAAAAACAAAACTCTAGACAGCAGCAGCTGGTTTCTCCTTCAGCAGCAACAGTTCAAAATTATGCTGCTCATAATAGACTTGAAGCAAGAAGAAAAAATGAGGGTATTACAGTGCATTCTCTCTGGTTTTTCCCAATAACAGTGTATATATAGAATTTTCTCTTTCTCTGTTTGAAATATTCTCACTAACAACAGGAAATGATGGTTTACTGGATGGTTTTCAGGTGTGTGTCAGTAATTTAGGGAAATCAGAGTCTCATTTGCAAATGATTGTTGCACTGCACAAGTGTATCTACACATGGTTTTATGCTGGCTTAAAGCATCTCTCTCATGCCAGGTGAGATGCCCTGGGGTCCTTTCCCTGCTCTATTACTGCCATTCCCCTGAATCCCTTGGGTTCCCCATCACCCCCAGCCCTGTAGGGCTGCCTGGTGATGCTGAGGCACATGGATTGAGTCCTCTGGGGAGTTTCTGCTCCTGCCTTGGCTTCTTTACTGGAGACAAGTTTTTGTTTTCCCTCAGCTTCCCATTAGGAGCAGAACTTGGCCACCATCAGGATGCTGCTGGAGCACATATTGAGTGGTGGGTATCTCACAGGGGTCTGCAGATAGGACTCTGGATGTGAGCAGCACAGTAGAGGGTCAAGGTGGGGCACTGGGTGGCCCAAGTCTTCTATAGACTGTGATTTCCCAGGCAGAGCCAAGTGGGAGCCCCCAGATTTGTGGTGTCTCCATTCAGTACTTAACCCAGATAACAAAAATAGTAGGAAAAACCCCTCACCTCCTAGGAGGGCTCCCAGCTTGGAGAGAATGAGTCTGGCATCTTTTTGGACTCTTTGCTTTGATGAATTAGCAGTTTGTTTAGGTGTCAGCACATGGTCTGAGGTATACCAAACTCAAACTGCCTGCACTGTTCTATTGCTTCAAAGATGGCTTGGACCAGTGCAATTCTTTTGTGTGGGCAGATAGATAACTTTGCTAGATAACTCTGGATTTCTGAGAGGCTGTGGGAGAATGGGAGATATTCACTGAAATGAGATATAAATCCTCATGACCTAGTATGCCAGCAGGCTGGAGAGGACCAAAAATCCAAACAAATGCTTGTTAATACTGGCAGCAGCTCAGGAAAAAGAAGTCAAGAAAAAGTTCAGCAAAAAAATTCAGAATAGGGATAATTAATAAATCTCTTCCCCTGAGTGCTCTCTGGCACAGCATGAGCTACCCCTGACCAATGAGATCATTCTGCATGAAAGCTGTTTCCTTTGAGGAGGAAAAGGAGAAAATGGGAAGCCACTGTGCCCAGAGTCCAGGCTGGGTCATTCTGTGTCTTGACTCTGCTCCAAGTGTTTCCCTTGCCCTTGCTGCCCACCCCAGAAAAGCTCCAGCTCAGAGGTAGGTGCTGTGATCAGCAGAGAGCTTGCTGTATCCCACCACAGCTGCACCAGCAGTCACAGCACCACAGTCCCAGTGCTGCAGGGTGGCAGAGGGTGCTCTCTGAGCTGTGCTGCTCATCTGGTTTGAAACCAGAAGCTGAATATGCTGTGTCAGAAATAATTGGAGCTAAAGGCTCCCCTGGCACAAACCATGTTGCCACATAACAATAATGAGGATGACAATGATAACAGTAAATTAGTAATAATACTGAGTTGGGAACAATGTCAACTCTTGACCTCAAATCATTACATTTCCTAAGACCTGAATTTCAGTTCTGGGAAATGATTTAGCATTTCTCCTGCTAAACAAATTAGAAGCCTGCTGGAGTTTTAGCAGGCTTTGATTTGTGAGAAGAGCACAGGCATAGAGGAGCAGCCTGCAGCCATCCAAGCCAAAGCCAAGCTACATTGGGCAGGAGCATGTCCTGACAGAGGCAGGAGGTGCACTGCTAGCACAGCATCTCCTGCCTGTGCACCCCAAATGTAACCAAGAACACCTCCTTTTAGCTGAGTATTTCTTGTAGAAAGTGTTGGCATTTTTTTCTGTAAGTTTCTTAAAGCATTTCTTACAGTAAAGTCTTGGTTTTCTAACAATAATGACATGGACAGGGAGTGTTTGGTACCCCTTGACATTAAGACTGGGGCTGCATTTCGAGGGAGAAGTGGGAGCTGGGGTTTAATGGTTTTTCCTGCTGCAGATACAAACACAGGTCAACCAGCAGTGGCACGTGATAATCCCTGGGCAAGAGTTCAAGCTGGCCAAATGTGAGAGACTGTCAGCTTTTGCATCGACAGCCTTGCATGGGTGCTTGAGGCTGGCTTTTTTTGAGCACTACCATGACAAAGTTCTGACAGATGTTAAAAACTCAGCTTCTAACCAGCTTAATCATTCCCTTACGGAGTCTTGCGTGTGTAGTGTCACTTGAATGCTTTTCAAAGGTCTATTGCATTTATCTTGGCATTGAAGAAGAACCAAAACTTCAAAGTCCACCTCTGTGATCATCATTCATCAAAATGAAAGACCATAGACTTTTAGAAGGGTTGAGATACTTTCTTTGGTTAGAAAACAAACAAACAAAAAAAACCCAATAATGCTTTGTTTGAAATAATAGGAGAGAGAGAAAGGACTCAGATTAGTCTGTGCTTGAACAAACAGGAAGGAAGGGATTTGGCAGAATTAATCTAAGCACAGTGTTGTGTTGGGAAATGCAGGTTACGAAAAGAGCCCTGCAAAAATTAGGCAAGTCCAAGTCACTTGCAGAACATGCCTGTTGCCATGATTTTTTTGGGTTGGTTGGTTGTTTTTCTGGGTATTTTTGTAGTGGAAATGTAACAAAAAGGAACACTTTTCCACTGCTTTCAGGATTCTAGTGGGGCATCCTGACTAGCATAGCTGGAGTGAGCTGCAGGGGGTTTCCTTCCCCCTCCCCTCCTCAGTACCTGTGCTAGGGAGATGTATGTGCACAGATTCAGCCATGGCACAGCTGCTGCTAACCTGGGATTAGCTCAGTTACTTAAGAGTATGGTGCTAATAATGCCTTTGGTTGTGGGTTCAATCCCTGTATGGGCTATTCACTTCAGAGTTGGAACTGGTGATCCTTGTAGGTCCTTTCCAGCTCAGACTATTCTGTAACTCCTATCAGCTGAGCTCTGGTGCTCAGGCACCCTTTGCTTGCTCATGCAAACAGAACTCCTTCCCAAATGAGTTTTCATATTTGTTGTGTTTAGAGGGTAATAGCATTACTAATCCTGAACATGGCCTAGCATCCAAAGCAGGGAGAAGGAAAGCTGTCAGCAAAGCCAGGCTCTCACTGCTCTCTGTATAACTTAGAATGAAAAGCCACAGTCTTCCAACCAGTTTTCGCAGAAATAAGTATCAAACTTTCTACCAGCATGACACATATCAACATTATAAACTTCACAAAGGTATTTGAGGATCACCACATTGTGGCTGTATAACTGAAGCCAAATTCTTAATTTGTTTGAAGTCTAATTTTTCTGCCATTACTCAGTACAAGCAAACCAAAACTTGTCTGAGAGTTCTTCATACAGATGTGTTTCAGTCTCCTAGAATGTCACTTTAAAGAAAGCATTATTAGAATAAGAATTGGAAACTATGAGTAATTTTATTTATTTACAATAATTGCATCATTATAATCATTATACAAATAATTTTACTTATGCAAATAAATATTTTGCAATCTATTGAATTACAGAGGAACATAATTCTAAACATGAATTCTGAGAAGAAGTCATAACAATAACAAATTCCTGTTGTTAATTATTTGTAGTATAAGAGTGTTGGTGGTAATGCAGGACTCTGGCAGGACCATGTTTGTTTAAACAAGGCTAAATTACCATGATCCTCGTGCCTTGTTCCCACTTACCTTGAGCACAGATCAGGAAAAAAAGGCCCTGAGTAAGGTGGGAATTGATTCTGATGCCATGTAAGAGTATGAGAGCTTTGTGGTTGTTTTGAAGTCACAGGACACTTATCCCACCCACATCATTCATGTGCCCACCCATGCTCATGTCCATAGTCACACAGCATCCCATGCGAGAGCCTGACAAGCTCAAGGTCTCAAATCAGGACATCTGAATCACCCTCAAAATGGCTCTTTGATTTTTCTCTAATTTAGACTGGACATTAGCTGGGATGGTGTTGCTCAGTAATTCTCCTGTGCTCACACCAGATGTGTAACATTCTCCATGTTGCCCAAACATATGCCTTGCCACACTTTCTCCTTGGTATTTTTCTTCTTAACTATTATAATCTGATTTTTTTTCCCCTGAAATTTACAGGCTAGAAGGAAAATGATGAAAATGTTACCTTTTTTCCAAAGTCCTTTTGGAATACGCAGTGGATCAGAGGGTTGCATTGATGCAAACAGGCCATTTGAAAACACTTCACCATCAGTAGCTGAGCAAGTCCCTGCCTGTCCTGAACCTTCTGCAGATGAGATCTGGTCCAGGGACCAGGAGAAGATGAGAGAAAGGCCAGAGGCAGCCTGCAGAGCTTCACGTGCCTCTTCCATCACGAGCAATGAGAGCTGCATCTCTGCCGGGGACAGCCCTGAGAAGGGGAACAAAGGAATAAAGGGAATGCTTAAAAGTGCATTTAAAATAGTTAAAAAGACCAAGCCACCCAGTGGTAAGTGCTCCTCCATCCTCCTTGCACCACTTCATGGGCCATAGTTTCCTCTAGAGGGGCTGTATGAGGCAGGGAATTGTCCCCTAGGGAAACAAAGGTACTGATAGATTGAAGTGACTTTTCCAAGAAGTCCGGGGAAAATTGGGCTGAGGGAGACATGACCTCAAGTCCTGGTCTTTTAGTACAAAGGGTACAGTCCTTGAGGAGCTGTCCATTTGCAGGTTTTCTGTCCAAAATAAAACTTATTTCTACTGGGGGCACAGAGAACTGTGGGTGGGTGGGTGAGAAACCAAGGTGTAACTCTCAGCTCTGTTCCTCCACCTCCTCCTACAAAGTCTTGTTGTTTTAGTACAAATTATTTCATTTCCAGACAAGCCTTGACCTGTCTAATTGGCATCTCTCTCACCATATCTTAAATGCTTTCCCTAACTGGTGGTTTTCCTTCTTGGCCTTGAATTTGCTGCTGAAAACAGGCCTTTTGTACTTTTGTTCTTACTGCTGCATTGCCCCATCCCCAATACTTTTGTTTTTTGGGTTTTTTTTGTTTCTTTTTAAGCAACCAGAATTGCAGAAAATATTCCAGATGAGACACCACCAATGTGTGGTGCAATATATTCCTATTTTCCCATCTCAGCTGGATATTTCTCACTGAGTACATCCTGGGGTCATAACTGATATGTTCACTACTACCTCCCAGTAAGGATTTACTAATTCTCCAGGCGTCTCTCTTCCTCCTCCATCTCAAGCTGATTCACATCCAGCTTGCAGCAGAAAATCCTGTTTGTTGCTAAGTAACTTTTGTTCTATTGCATTTGTATCTTGGGTTTTATGCCATTAAATTTCAGCCCATTTACTATTCAAGTTATCCCATTGTTCCTGTAAAATACACCAAGCCCTCAGTTTCGATAATGTCTCTGAACTTTGTGCAATCAGCAGATGCCAAAAGGGCACTCCCAGCTTTTGTGCCACAATCTTTAAGGATAAATGAAGTAAGATGAGTTTCATGAATAATGTAAGCTTTCTCCACCCAGGGTCCTCCATGCAAACATTACACAGCTAAAAAATCTTATTTTGGGATATAACCTTGCCATTTCAACGAATAATTTCCCAGGTTTCTCTGTCTCAAGTAACTGGCTGTAGTTCAGATAAGATAGTTCAATTGTATTTGTCTTGCTTGCTAAATGTGTCCTCTCAAACAATTTCACAGGTCAGGTTGTGCCAAATCTATTTCTGGAAAACCCATGTGGTATTTCCTTCAGCACATCTTTAGTTACATCTTTCCATCTACATTATTTCTAGTGCCATGTTTCTGACTTGAGGTCATATTAATGGAAGGGGGATGAGCCATAACTAACTAACTCCACAAGACTAAATTTTGGAAACAATTATAGGTGGCTCATGAATAGCTGTCCATATGCAACACATTGGTGATGGGTATTCAAGTTTCCATTGCCCCAGTTAAAGGCAATCTAGAAACAATCTGATCTTTAATTAAATAGACTTTCTATATGGTGTAGGAGCCCAAGAGCTAGCATTTTGGAAGTATAAGCATTTTTAAAAAATATTCCAGAGCCATCATTTTTTATAAAACATAAGTCTAAATCTTCACTCTTGGTTAAAGAAAGGCTGTTCTGTTTTCACCAGTCAAACAAGTCATGGATCTCCTTGGAGAGCAAAAGCTTTGTGATGCCATTCAACATCTGTTTGCCCTGGAGAAGAGCCTGTCTAGCAAAAGTGAGGAGGGACTGAACACCAGTCAAAAAGACATTGAGTCTGTCTATGAAGTTCTGAAGCACAAAGTCTTCAGCACCTTGAAGGATTCTGTACTGCTTGCAAAAACAAACCCAGATCTGCTACAGCAGGCAGTGGAGGCTCTGAAAGAACAGGAGAAAGAAGATCAGAACTACATGTCAGAGAATCCACCGGACCAAAATATGCAATTTAGACCTAGAAAATGGAAAGAGCTCTGGATGGCTACAGTAAAGGAGTCGGTAGAGGCTCGAATGAAAGACACAAGCCGTACTCCTAGAACTGAGAACCTCTCTGCAGTTGGCCAGAACCTCCTGCACATGGGAAAGACAATGAAAGAAGATTTGACAGTGGTTGCCAAGTATATTAATAAGCTTTATCCTCCCGAGTTTAATGTGTTCAGCACATATGCAGAACTCTACCACAATTATTTTGCCTCCCAGGCAAAGAAAAATGCTGAGTCTCATCTGGAAGACAAGGATATTTACCTTCTTCTCTCATGGGTGCACAATTTTTATCCAAAGTAAGTGGGCTTTTATACATGTTTACCCCTGGAAATCAAAATAGGCTCACTGGCTGCAAATCCAGGCATTTGCTTGATTTATGAGTTAGTATTACTGCAGTGCAGTCCAGCACCTGGCTAAGTTACTGGTGTTACTGATGATGTCCTGATTTACAGTCCTGGCCAGAACAGCCAGAAGGGACACTCTCAAGGCTGCTAGTCTATAAATGAAGGGCTGTTTCACCATTCTGGCTTCTGGGCAACAGACACACAAAGGTTTAGGGCTTCATCTGTGGGGTAAATTGGTCAGGTTCATTGCCTTGATATCAATTCCAGTTGCAGACCTGGGCTCACTCTTGAAAAATTTTGAAATTTCAGCCCTTTGTACCAGAGGGCAGACAATAAAAATAACAACTTGAGATGCAATTATCCTGGGCATGGAGGATGTTGCTTAGGTGTTACTCACAGTCTATGTTTTCTTCACCTTTAGGAGAGCCAGGGGTGCGCCCCTGTGAGAGGACACAATCCAAGGGTCCCCATAAACTCTGTATGTTACTGAACTGAAAACATTGCTTGTTGTGGCTAATAGTACTGAGTGGAGAATTGAGGGCTTTCACTTCTTAGGTGGAAACCAGTAAAGACACCAGCAATGTTTCTTCTGTTCCAAAGTCATTCAGCTCCACTTTTTCCTTTTTGTGCTCCACTGATGAGTGTAATGATTCATTGTTGATCCCGGAAGTTTTCCACAGCCAGTGTTGTGCTCTAGATCAGGATATTCAGGCCTGAACCAGCCTGTGTTTAGGAGTGAGCAGCTGTGAGGAGCAGGGCTCAGCCCAGCACTGGGGACAGTGTTGGCCAGGGTAGCAGCTGCTTTGGGATTGTTCCCAGAGGCCACATCCAGGTGTCTGCTGAGGAACCACCTCCCAGCCATCAAACACCAGCTTTTCATCTGCTCACCTCTCTGTATGGATGGAGAGAGGTCATGACAAGGGGCTAGACTCCCCTGCTTGCTTCAGATCTCCCATCCCCACCAGAGCACAGTGGCTGCTACTCAGGAGTTTGACAGACCATGACTCCATTCACAGGGTTGCTTGTGGTCCCACCCTCACAGATCTCACCCCTGGCACATATCCATTCAGCTTCTCCAAGTCCTGCCTGGACTGAAGACAATGTACATTTCCATCTGTTTTTTCACTGATACCCTCAAAAAGTGTTAGTGATTTGCATCAACAACTGTCTTGAATTACACTGCCCTTGGAAAATACAATTGTTTGGCTTTTTTCATTCCAGAGACATGAGGAAAGATCATGCTTTAGCCATGGAGTTGGATAAAGTTAAGCTTGGAAGCCTTTTGCCTTCAAGTCTGAGCAAAGAGCTTGAAAATAAATACCTTGACAGTGAAGAGGTAAGAAAAGTTCAGTCACTCCTCTTCTTCCCTTCACTGCTCCCATATGACTCCTCAGAGAAGCTGTGACTTGTCCTGCACACACACTTCTTCACCAGTGAACCACACACCCTTCCAGGGAGAAGCAAAAGCTTTTGTTTGTTTTTGGGGAGCAGGTCACCTTTCTGCTAGATGAGACCTGCAGAGCAAACTTCTGCTTAGCCCTGGCAGCCAGGAGAAAAGAACTGCTCTGTTCTTGTAAATCATGTGGTAGCAACGGGGAAAATCCAACAACAGATCTTTACAGGCAACTTTCTCATTGTCTGATAAATCTCCAGAGGGATTTATGGTCCCTCTCACAGGAGTCTCTGAAGGATCTTGGATTACTCCTGGTATTTGCAGAGGTGCCAGACCTTGGGTGAGCGCAAAGCATGGAGTTCTGGTTTTGACAAATCTCTTTCTTTGATGGAGAATTGCCTGCTCTGCAGAAAATAAAAGTTGCTCTGGTTTTTGTATCACCGTTCCCTTAATGGAAACAAGAAGCCACTTCTAGAGTATTCCCATACTTAGTGCTTTTGGCATTTGGGGCTGGAATTCCCGGAAAATGAGAAGATGAGTTCCAAGTTTAACTGTAGTCTGTGATGGTTTGCATATGGGAGAGGTGGTGTGAGGTCTGCAAAGTGCATGAATGGGACACAGGGGGATCAGCAGACACTGCACAGACCATTTCCAAAGCCTCACTGCAGCACAGAGGGGTCAGAGCAGAGAAAACCTGAGAGCACTTTGTTTCCCTCTCCAACACTTGTGTGGCGTCAGAAGAGCTCATGAAAAAGGATTGCAAAAGCAGGTGGCTCTGAGAGTGACACACACACACAGTGTGTGGTTGGGGGAATTTGGGCTCTGGCACATGTAGCTCCTGCAACCTTCCTACCCACTGCTCCCCTCCCTGCCCTCCTGATCCCCCGGATGTGGAGGTGTGATGGGATCTTCACTCCCACCTTAAAATACTCAACTCACTATTATGTAGGTATCGTGAGGGGGCTGTCCTTGTTGCTGTGAAGTCATGGGTCAAGCATCTCCAAGGAACCTTTATATCCCAGCCAGGGCTGAGGAAAAAGTCTGCTGAGCCAGGCAAAACATGGGTGGGTGGGTGGGTAAAACCTGCGTAAGGCAGGAGCTGTTGCATCCATGTTGTAGTAAATGCCGTTGTTCTTCCTTCCCTAAAGGTTACTGTCAAAAATTCACTGAGCAGATGTTTAGATAAAGAAATCCAAAGATGGAAAGAAGACAAGGAACCAGAGAAGCTAAATGGACATTTTCAGAGTGAACTGCTAGGAATATTTGTTATCCAGGTAATACAAAGCTATATTAAAAATAAGCAATTGCATCTTTTACCTGCTTAGGATTTGAGACCAACTATGGTCAATGCAGAAAAGGAAAAGGCCAAGTCACTTGTGTAGAGTGGTAGCAGAGGTGGGTGGTAGAGGGAAGCTCAAAACCATGGTCTGTCTTGGGCCTGGTGTACCATGGGACAGAGGCAAATGCCTCTATAAGCAAAACAAGAAGAAAAACTGCTTTCATTCTCCTGTGCAATTTCTTCTGCATCCCCAGCAGCAGAGAGACAGGAGAGAGGCTCGGTTAATTGAGAAATGGGGAGTCTCTTTCTTCCTCCCAGGGGAAGTGCCACAGGCAGAGCTGCCCCTTTCCATCCTCTGGCTGCAGAGGATTAGTTGAGTTTATTTTTAAAAAACAAACCTCTCATGTGTTGAGGTTGTTGTGATTAAATTGTTCATTTAAATGCAATCTAACAACATTTAAAAAAAAAAGCTAAAAGAAAAAAAAGAAACAAACCAAGTGTGAAAGTGTGAAATTGCCTACTTTCTCAGCTGTTTTCTAGATTTTCTTCATGCTCCTTTTGAACCTTTCATCTAAGTATGGCTGCTCTTTGTGGTCCCTGGATCAGTTGCAGGGGGGGATGCAGGAGAGCTGGGTGCAGCTCTCAGCAAAGGATCTGCAGCTTCTTTTACCCAGCAAACCTGGCCTTTTTGGAGCAGGCAACATTTAAAATTGATCTCACTTGTCTGTTAGAGTATCTACAGCAGCCAGAAGCGAGCTGAGGACATCAGCAAAGCTGTGGGTGAGGAGCTGTCCCGTCGGCTGCTGAAGGAGCTGCCAGCCTTCCTGAGGAGGTGAGCTGGGGAGGGGCTGTGGGCACTGGGGCTGGCACAGCACCTGGGCAGCCACTCACCCACCTCTCCTCTTCCCATCTCCCCTCCAGCTACAGGGATGCCTTTGAAGACTTCAAGGAAAAAAGCAAGAAGCACACATACTACAAGCCTATACTGATTGCAAATATTAACAACTGCTGCAATTTTAGGTAAGGGTCCAAAAGAAAAGGTTTTGCTCCTTCCTCTGCAGGCAGTGTATAGAGGGGAGGTACTCCAGAGTGAGCAGAGGTAGTAGGTCCATCTGCCTGCAAAAGGTTTGGAGACCTCTGAATTTCTCTCTCTTTCCTCTGAGGACAGACTGTTCTGATCTGACTGGTATTTTCTTTCAGAGACTACACAGAGAAATACGTGGCAGAAAAGGAGGACAGTAAAGCCGATATCCTCAGCACTCTCGCTGATATTGAAAACAGCGGCTTTGATGTGCTGCTCCAACAGCTCTTTGCCCAGCTGAAGGTACAATATCTGTGCTCCACATCCTCCTACCCCATGGCTCAGCTGATACCAGGGCAGGGCATGTTCTCCTGCTGTGCTATCTGTTGTTCAAATCTCTGATTCAAATCAGCCAAGTTCAGAAGGGACAGGATTGGTCCTAACCCACACTGCTGCAGGAAAACTCCCACTAAGCTCTCCTTGAGCTGGTCCTCAAGCCTGCAGGCAAAATGGGTGCAATGACATAGGCATGACTGTGCAGGTGAACATAAAACCTGCTGATGGCATCTGAGACAACAGCTACAGCAGGGAGAGTCTCAACCTGCAGCTATTTGCTCTCCACACTGTAGAAACACATCACTAATGGCATAAACTGCAATTATGCAGCTTTTGGCTTCCCCATAAAGGTGACCTGAAGGGCATTTCTGTACTTCTGGCTTCCTTTTTTTTTTTTTTTTTTTTGTTTATATATATATAACACAATGTTTTCGAGTTAAGCAATTTTGGTGGAGGAAAAGGAAGCGTAGGAGTCAGGAAAGTTCAGCCACAATCTCTCCTGCTTTCTCTGTAGAGCCTTTTGGAAGGCACGAGAGAAAAGGGGTAGAATTTTTTTCATTTGCATATTTATTTACTGTGGCTGAGAAAAATTATGAACATCTCATAAGGATTCATTTTTTTTCCCCTGATGGTTCCATAAGTCTTCAATCAGACAAGATAGTGAGGGAAAAAAAAAAAAGCAGAAATAATAAAAACACCTCCAATATTAACCTTTCAAGCCCTTGGTCTTGCTAGCCATGAGGAGTCAAGAAGGGGACAGCCCCTTGTTCCCCTGTTCCTGTAAGGCATCACCACACACCTGTGCACAGGACTACACACCATGCTCTCCCTACATGGGATACTCCACATGTAGGAATGACAAATACACATGTGCATAGAATTTGTTTGAGGTAACTTAGCAGATTTTCCTTTTTTTTAGCCAATGTACAAGAAGTTTACAGAGAATAAGTGGGATTCCAGCAGTGAAATTATGAATGAGATCATTAAAACCACCAGCAAACATATTTCAGACTTCAAGACCTTAAAGGACCCGTTTTACCATGTAAGTCCAAGAGAAATATTGGAGGGATTCTGGGGTGCTGGGGCTGCATTTTCAGCTCTGATCCTCTGTGGCTTGAGCTGCCTTGACCTCTGGTGAGCTGGCCTGGTATCAGGAAGCCTCTCAGGAAGGGTTTCCATCAGCATGCAGTTTACCCAGATAAGGCACATAAATCTCACTCTCCTCTGACAGAAGCAGACTTCTACAGCTCTGCTGCAGTGTTTGCAGAGCAAACCACTGCTGATGCAGAGAAAGTGCTTTAGAGACCACCCAACACGTGGTCTTAATTACAGATTTGGTTTAGCAATCTTGAAACACAGATATGCAGTTGCATGGTTCAGTCTCATTGCTCCTTTGATTGCCCTAAGGGCTGGAGGAGGTGGATGAAAATGGGACAAATCCCAGAGAACTGAGCCAGAACCACATCCTCACTGGTCCTGGACTATATATGAAATATCATAATATAAGACAATATTTGATTTCCTGTCTTTGTCTTTTTAGTAGCTGGGACAAATAATGATGTTTTATGTGTTAGAGAGAAGAACAGGAAGAACAGCATGAATTCCTGTTTCTCTGGAATACTGTTACTCCTCTACCACATGGAGATCTTTTCTGCACTTTAAACTCTTCCCAGAAGGAAATAAACATTTGGAAATTCCCATTCTTATTAGAGCACAAAGAAATTCTCAGCATCTAGGATGTGCTGTAACCGGTCTTTGGAGGCTGGCAACCAGGGCTGTTCCTGCTGTGTAATCTGCAGCAGGCATTGGTGGGGCATGGCTCACAGCACCCAGGGTGGTTTTGCCCTCCATCCACACAGATGGTTTGTTATGTCCCCAAGCAAAAGAGGGATGGATGATGATTCCCTCCTCTCCTTCCCAACAGGCTATTGTTGAGAAGATCCATGCCCGTTTGGTTAAAGAGTACATTGTGAGGCTGCTGAAGAGGAAGGTCAGCCTGAAAACTCCAGCACAGCAGCAAACTCTGGCCCAACACATCTCCAAGAATGCTGCTGACCTGGAAGCCTTCTGCACCAGCAATGTACGTGAGTGCTTGCCATGAACCCGTCAGCACAGGGCACAGACACACTGAAAAACAGGAAAGTAATTCTGGGAACTTTTGTTAACCTTTTCAACTCAGTCTAATTTCCTGGAAGGCAGGACCTTAGGCAGAAAGTGGTCTCTACATGCCTGTAGGCAGAAAGGGTCCCCCACACTGTAAGCAGCCTGCCCCTCCCTGCTTGGAGAGACATGATTTCATCTTCCTTTGTCCCACAGGCAGTTTCCTTTCGAAGATTTATACTAATAGGGTCAAAAGACTTAGATAATCTTTTCCGGTTTCGGTACAGCTTCCATGAGTCTGGGTTTCCTCTCACCCTTGATTTCCCTGATGCTGCAGCTTTTAGGTAAGCCAAGGGCTAAAGCAGGCAGTGTGGGGGTCTGTGGTATGCAAGGAATTTTTCCACAAGAGCCACAGCTGGAACACCCCTCTCTGTCCTTTGGGATCATCTCCCTCCTTCCATGCCTCTAATTTTGCCCGCAAAAAAAGCTAACAGCTAGGCCAAAACCTGTCCTCCATCACTCCATGCATGTTTGACTGGAGAAGGAACAGGTCTGAGTTTCACACAGAGTGGGTAGGAGAGCTGCACCTTGGAAATTCCAATGGTCAGGAAAAAGCTCTAGCTGGGGCTTCTACCTGATTTTGGTGATACCTGGAGATACCAAAGGCAGGGTTGTGTTTGGAGCTGGAGCAGAGCAGCACGTGGCAGTGAGTCACCTGGCCCATCTGATTACAGACCTTGGTACACACACCAGGCAGTGCAGAAACCCAAGGAAAAGGAAATGAGCAGATAGAATCTGCTGAGGTGGATGTGGAAGTCTCAGTCTTATGGCAAACCACACACCATTTGTGTGAGAGGATTAAAAACCATCAAAAAGTTAATCCAGTTTTTCCAAGGCTACCTGAGGCAGAAACAGCACTGAAAACAGAGAAGCAGATAAAATCATTCATGTGTCCTTTCCACTTGCCAAGAAACAGCCTCAGGGGGCAGCTCCTGGGGTGGGGGGCACTTTGCACCCCCATGATGTCCTGCTAACCACTTTTTCTGCTTGCAGGGATCTCAAGCCACGTGGCTGAATTCAGCACTCCCCAAACTGGCTGAAATAATCCGACTTCAGGATTTAGGTGCTATTAAAATTGAAGTTGCAACACTCGCCACAACGTACCCAGACATCCGGTAAGAGATGCTGAAACAGATTTGCTAGTACTCATAAGGAATTTTTTAATTGTGCCAGAAAGCAGTCAAATATGAATATAGCTGAAGTTCATACAGCCTGAGCCTATAAACCTGGGTGGGGGCTGCCTTCCAGGCTGTGGCAATCCCAGTCCTATCAGAAAGCAAAGGAAGATATGAATAAAAGCCTGTTGATATATTCCAAATTCTGGCCTAATTTTCTCCTTTACCTTGGAGATTCCCTTCCCTACCCCAAACATCCCAGGACAGTGCAGGGTCTTGTGTAGGACTGCCAGGTACTGAGCTGGCACCCACAGGGGACGTCAGCACACGCCACAGGGTGGGAGCCACATCCTGGTGCAGTGGCCCTGACAGGTGGAGGTGTGTGGGAGGAAATAACACCTGCCCATCTCTCTTCCACAGCAAAAGGCACCTGGAAGCGTTCCTGCACATCAAAGCCAATTTGTCACGCAGCGAACTCAAGAGCATCCTGGGCTACTTGGCAGACAGCACAGCATCCACACAGCCCAGGGCCCCGCTCTTCTCCAGCATCAACGTGTCCTAGACCAAGGCATGCCTTGGCACTGCCCTGTGCTGGACTGTGGGGTGAGCTGGGGATGGAGACCATCTCCTGGAGCAATGCATGGCACACACTGCCACCTTTTCCTATGGAAAGTGCTTTGTCCCAGTCTGGTGCTCAGCATCTCTGTGGGAATCATCATCCTGTGGGGCTGGGCACAGGGTGCACCCATGGGAGGTGCAGTGCCCACACAGACCAGGGCTGCTCCTCCCACCAGTCATGGATTCCCTCTGAGATCTCCTTGTGCCACCACATTCTCTGCCTGGACACTGCCCTGGAGCTCTGAAGTCCATCTACCTCTCAGGGTGCCACAAAGGCCACATCACAGACCAAGCAGGCACCACCTATGTAGCTTTTTATCTTCTAAGGAAATTAAGGGAAACAAAAACTGAAACCAACATTTAGAGATGTGTAGCATCCCATGGGCTCTTGAGATGTTGGGAGAGTCCCATGTGAGCATGTTTGCAATCCATCTGCCTTCCTCAGAGCTGGGCAGGGCACTGTGTTAGGCTGGTGGGAGAGGTTCCTGGGGAGGAGGAGCTGCAGCTCAACTGTGGCAGGGCTCCTGCCAGCCCCCTTGGAGCAGCTGCAGGCTCTGACCCAGGGCAGCAGCACTGCCCAGGGCCTTGGGGTTTCCAGTGGAGAACTGGCCCTGGGGAATCATGTGCTTCCTCCACTTCTGGGAGGTGGGAGATCCTGGGCCCCACTCCAGTGACCCCATCCAGTGCATCTGCATGGAGGGACCCCTCAAACAGAGGCTGGGAGCAAGCTGCCTATTGAAATGGATTATCTGGGTTAAGCAGCAGCTGATAAAACACTTTGGGTATTACTGAAGTCCTCCTTACCAAGGAGAGGACTTCCAGACCCCATTAACAATGCAGGCTTTGATGGGGTGTGGAACTGGTCTCAAATATCATCAATACATACTGAGCACCCTGTATGTGTCACCATTCTCTTGCTCACTCTTTCCCCTTGTGCTGTGAGGTAGATATGATGTGAAAATACAAATGGGTCTCTTGTGAAACTCTGTTTTGTTTCTTACAGCACAGTTTTTTTGGGAACTTAATCACTCACCAAAACAGCACTGTGTATATTTGGAGACCTTTCCCTTCTGTTCTCCTCTGTTTCAACTTTTGCATCAGTCTGTGGAAAGTCAGTCCGGAAGGAAGATGCCTAATGACTGTGCAAACTATATAATGTATATTTATATGTATATGCAATATACCACCAGTGTATTTTTGCATCCAATTTTATTTTTTTCTCAGTTAGAGATACTAATTTGCAATGTTTATAATAAACAGTATTCAAATATGCTAGAAAAGTGACAGTTTACTGTGTTGCCACTGCTGTGTTGTCTTTCAAAGGGCCATTTCTCCCAGCCTGCTCTGGTGACTATCACCCACAGGTTCCAAGTAGGGGTTGTTGCTGGACTATAGACAGGCTGGAAAAGCATTGCTGCTGCCCCTGTAAGACATTCACTGAGCAGGGTGGGCTGCTCACTAGCAGTGGCCAGTGGCACATTCTCAGAGGAGTCTTCTGCCAACAGGTCCTGTAGCAAAATTGTGCCATGAGTGGAAAACAGTGTTTTGATTTTAGTTTGCAGCCTGGCCACAGGCAGCACAAATCACCCTCTCCTTCCTTAAGCACACTCACACAAAACTCATATAGACACATGGGTTAAAAAAATTATTATTTAAACACTCATCTCAGCTACAGTTTAAAGGCAAATGCCAAAATGACTTCTGACTGTGCTGAGCACTCATGACAACTGTCACCTATTGGGTAACATTTTCTTTCCCAATTAGTGAAAGGTCACTTTATTGCTATAAAATACGTATTTTGATTTAGAGATCTGTTAAAGGCCTACAGAAATGCATCATGCAAGTGATTACACTGATCTTTAAAAAAAAAATCCAGCTAAGTAAGTGCCCAAAGGGAAACAGTATCTATTTATATATCATAATTAGCATGGGTAGGAGAAAATGGTTTTCATACACATTTCATAAGCCATATGGAAGTGCATTGTGCAATCTCTTCATCCTGCTATAAAACCCCAGCTTTCATCTCTAATGAGCCCGGGAAACTAATTTATTTATCTTCCTGCATGACTCGACATTTAAAATGGCATTTATTTATAGGTGGCATATTACACACAGCCAGGTAGTTTCAGGAGGTTGCACAAATGTCTTCTGATAACAGTGTTAGTTCAATATGATAAATAGCACTTCTAAAACTAAGTAAATAAAATTTTCTGAGGTCAGCGTGGCTCGACTTTCTTTATCACGCAACCTCTGCTGATGCTGATGCCTGCCCCTCCTTGGAGGCAGAGCAGATTGGGAAGATTAAAAAAATAGGATCAATTTTACAGAACAGTTAGGAAAGCTGGTTCCTGAGCACAGCTGCTGTGGCATTACCAGCTTTCCCTGTTTGCTGTCATCAGTGTCCCCAGCACATCAGCGCACAAAAGCCACCACACTGGGCACAGGCTGAGCTCAGACATACACTCAGAACACTCCTGGCTCCCTACCCATCCCTCCCACCTGGCACTTCCATCATTTGACAGAAGACTTGCAATCTGCAGTGCAAAGGACACAAACCACAGCATATCAGGGGGTGGTCTGAGGCATTACTCCCTCCTCTGCTCCTGCAGGAGCCACCTGTGGTGTGCTGAGTCCTCAGGGACACCTGGGGAACCTCTGGGAAGGCCAAAATCTCCAGAGAGATCACAGACTCAAGTGTGAGTGTGATGGGGAGAAAAAAAACCTGTAGGAATGCTTTGTTAGGGCCTGATGAGAAACTGTGGGAACTGCTGACCTGGAAATAAAGGGTTAAGAAGCCACAATGCCTGCAATTCCTTCCCTTTGAGCCTGGATCCTCTTTCTAAAACCCACTAAAAAATGACAGCACTGGACTAAAGCCCACAGGATTTACTGGTGTGCTGATTTTGAGAGGCACTAGAGCAAAGTGGTTTGGTAGGTGGGCTTTTCCAGGTGGACAGTGCTGGCTTCAGTGACACATTCCTCACCTGCTAATTTCTGTAAAGCAGGAAATGTATGTGCAATTACATCTTCACCAAGGATGTGGCAACAATTTGCCAACATCCATTTTCAAATCCTGCCTTTAGCATAGCTAATATGAACTTTAATAGAAGAAAACCTGGAAACCCCAATCCAGTGGGAAGAGACCTGAAGCCTGGCAATGCATGGAGCATGCCAGAGGAAAGGCACAGCTTCAGTGAGGAGTGGGATGGCAGAACCTCCTTCCCAAAAGGAATTAGGGCACATGGGCTGCAAGTCTGGCATCTCCCAGGAAGGCTTCACTTGCTGCTCCATCACCTGCCTCCTGCTTGGGTCAAAAGCCAGTACTGGGGACCAAACAGGCAGGAGCACCAGGAAGGAAGGATGTTTTGGGAATAGGGAAGAACAGAGGTAAGTGGGCTTGAGCGTGGCTCTAGCAAAATCACGCTCTTCCATGCTGTAGATTGAAATCCACAAGAGTAATTGCTGCCTTCCGGCATGACTTAGAAGAGGATGTGGCCACCCCAGCACGCTGATATGCTTGAAACACAAAATAGCTTTCCTGTGGCCACAATAATAGATGGCAGCTAATGTCAGGGGATTTAAAGAATTACTCATCAATGCAGGAAACATGGATTTCCACCCTAGCAAAGAAACAAATCCCTAGTAATGGGAAGAGAGGTGAATCCCACTTCCTAGGGGAAAAGAGGAAATGCAATGGAGCAGACACACCCATTAGGCTGTTCAGGGGCATGTTACAGAGGAAAAGTTAACTGTGTTTTTTTAAAGCAGTATGAAGTTTTTAAGGTTACTGTGAAGTGAATGTTCACATCTGCTGGGCACCATTTCTCCTTGCTACCAGGGGCTTTATCCTCCTGAAATGAGGTTTTTAAAACCCTTCTTGAACTGACAAGCTTGGGGGCTTCCCTACAGAGACATTCTTCATCTCTTCTCTGGGTCTTCTCCTCAGGTATTCAGCTCCTTCTTTCAGCTCTCCACAAGTCTCCTGATGTCTCCCAGCACTACCCAATGAGGTCCTGGGACCACATTTTCCCAGTTCTCTCAGCCTTCCTGCAGATGGGACACACCAGGGCAAATTATGTACCAGCGCCCAGAAAAACCATCATTTGAGGTCAAGGAATTCAGTGCTATTTATCCAAGTAGTTTTTATCCAAATAGGACAGAGCACTTGAGCTGTAATAACTCTCATAATGGACTAATAAAAGAGGAAATCTCATTATTTAGCAGAAAAGCTGAGCTCTCAAAAGCACTCCTCTCAAATGGGAGGTGATTATAACAAGTCCTTAGGTAGAACAATATTGGTCCTGGAGTCTTCAAGAGATTTTGAGCCCTATCCCAAAGGCATGAGGCCAACCCCCAAGTCCCAATGGCAAGAGCAGTGTAACTGAGAGCTCAATCAAGTGCACAGTTTAGGATGAAGTTAACAGTGCTATGTCCTAGTTAACAGAGGGCTGTTTCTGCTCCTTGGTTTCATTGCAGCCCCCTTTACTCTACACCAAGGCTGTAAGAAGTGGTGAAAACCATCTGATCTGTGAAACAGGGACTGTCATCTTCATGCTACCGCACAGCAGATCCCTTGTCTCAGCCCAGGTCCCATCCCCAACTTCAATCATTTTGACACAGCCCCTTCACAATCTGCAAGGGACTACACAGAACCAAAAACCTCGGCTGAAGCTACCCACTCCCCCTGCCAGAGGTATTTCCAATGCCCCAAGAGAGGCATTCAGCCCAGCAGGATCCTGGCAGCCACCTGCTTGTGACAACGTTGTGCTAGACCACAATCATGGACCACACCAGCTTTGAGGCAAGTGGGTGTGAAGGGAATGTCACCTGAAGATGTCACACTGCATTCAGGGGTGTCATTGCTGTCCTGCCTGGACACGGGTGGTTTGCAAAAAGCAGCTCTGAGCAGCATTGTGTCCCTCCACCAGGATGCAAAAAGACCCC